TCAGGTTTGATCTAAATTAGTAGGATGTCTACCCGCTACCGGGTTATTTTGGCGGGTGACTAAGCAGGTGTCTGTCTACCAGAGTTCTACGCTCAGGTTTGATCTAAATTAGTAGGATGTCTACCCTCTACAGGGTTATTTTGGAGTCATCAGGTTGTCTGTCATGTGTTTTCAGGTTGTCGAGGGGATGTGCTGTGTTGCGGCTTTGCTACTCAGCCACAATGCAGACCCCAACGTCCAGGACAGCATGGGCAGGTAAGACACTCGAGAAGCTGAGGCTATCACCAGTTTTAGTTAGATCACGTCTCTTCTTAGAACGTATTTAAAAAATGTACGAGCCGTTTGGCTCATAGTGTAACCCTGATTGTGACTAGGTATGAAAGTAACATTAGAAAATTTGAATATTCATTTTAAAAAAGGTTCGACTTCTCAGGCTGATTATGATTTTGATATTTATTTTGACGTTTTATTGATTATTGATGATTGATACAGAACGGCGCTGCACTGTGCCGTTGTCACGGGAAACGAACGAGTCTTTTCGCTGTTGTTGGAGAATCAGTCGCTGAACCTGGAACTACGGAATCTAGATGGTTTCACACCTCTCTGGGTCGCACTGCAGCAGCATTGTGATTATCAAGAAAAGAGCTTAAGCGCCCGACTAGTGGCACGTGGCAGCAGTACAGACGCTGTGTGTCCCAAGTCTGGTACGTTTCACTTTATAGAAAACTGTTTCCTATGTTAATACGATTTAGATGTGGTTTCACCTGGTTTCGATTACTTTCACTCCTTTTAACTTTGCCATTTATTTGATGTGGTTATTTTTCTTATAGGTGATAGTTTGCTCCACTTGGCCGCACGATCTGGAAATGGTGATGCAGCACTGTTCCTGGTGAAATATGGGGCACAGCCTGGCCTTGTCAACAACAGGGTATCGTCTCATTTCATGTTAAACTATTCGTTGCCTTTGATCTCTTAGAGCGAAACACACCCAATCACACATCTCACTTTTCGTAATATACGTCTCTTAAGAGTAGAGTAGTAGTAAGAGTAAATACTTGCTTTTAAAGTACGTCTAATGTGTCTCAGAAACATTAGTGGTATTTCAGTCTCTCATTCTGACCAGTGGTAGCGCTGTTGTCCAGCTGATGGCCAGTCTTCCGCGCACGAGTACACAGAAACGTCGTGCGTTGATTCTCGGACGTGATCTGACCAGTCTGCGTTGTTCTGCAGGGTGAGACGGCGCTCCACTGTGCTTGCCAGACGGGATTGGCGAAGTTGGTGGCGGCACTGCTGCTCAAGGGAGCGAACCCGAACGCACAGACGCAGGACGCAGAGGTGGAGGCTGTGGCGGAGGAGGAGGAGGAGGAGGAGGGAGCGGTCGGCAAGCAGACGCCGCTTCACGTTGCTATCCGCTGCTCACGCGAGGCTGTGGTCAACGTGTTCCTCGAACACAAGAGTGAGTAGTCGTTCGCGTCGTCTGCTCTTGGCCGTTAACGTCAGTCCGCTCGGCTTTGTTGAAGTTGTTTACAGCAAGGCTAGTGTATTGTAGGCAGTTAGCAGACACGAACATTACAGTGCGTAGTTGTCCGCTTAATCTGTCCTCTGCTCGGGCTAGGCCACTCAATTTTTTCGAAGTTGTTTGCAGTGAGACTAGCACAGTGTGTTGTAGGCAGTTAGCGGGCATGAGCTCGATTATGGAGCAGTTGTTTGCAGCGAGACTATTGTATTGTAGGCAGTTAGCGGAAACCCGCTCAATTTCGTTGAAATTTTTTGCAGTGAGGCTAGTGTGGTGTGTCATAAGTAGGTAGCAGTAGTCCGCTCGGAAGTTTTTTTGTAGTGATGCTACTGCGGTGTGTGGTAGGAAGTTGGCGTTATGCCTTAGTAAGTTGTAGTAAGTAATCGCTGTAGCAAGGTGGCTGCCATGTTGGGAGAACGACGGGTGTAAAAACGTAAAACGTCGTTTGCATTGTGGCGGTTGTCGCAGGGAGGCTGACCGAATCGCCCGACAACAAGCTAGTGATTCCGAATTTCAACGTGAAGGACTCGCGTCACGAGACGGTTCTCAGCCTTGCCTTGTGGTTGGGTCTGCATGACATCGCAGCCGGCCTGCTAGCAGCCGGAGCAGATATCGGTAGGTATCTTGGAGCAACTTAAGGTTACTTAACTTAACTTACTTAACTTAACTTAACTTAACTTTACTTAACTTAACTTACTGGTAAGGTGTCAGCACTGTTTGTGCTTGTACTGGTAAGGTGTCAGCACTGTTTGTGCTTGTACTGGTAAGGTGTCAGCACTGTTTGTGCTTGTACTAGTAAGGTGTCAGCACTGTTTGTGCTTGTACTAGTAAGGTGTCAGCACTGTTTGTGCTTGTACTAGTAAGGTGTCAGCACTGTTTGTGCTTTTACGGACACTACAGCGACTGATCGAAAGTAGCCGCCATTAGGAGATTTTCTCGGATGATACCGTCCTCTCTTACATGTTTCACGGATGAGTACATTCTGCTGAGAGATTCACGAAGATTAATCTCTGGCGGGAGTCAGGTAAGAACAAAGACCAGATGTTATAATGTCGATTAAAGTGAATATTTTATGTATGCAGAGATACAAAATGGGAGCTGTTGGATGCTGCTTTCGTTTTCTGTGATCGTGTGAAATGAGCGAGCGTCGAACGAATTTTTACAATTTCGCTTTCCTACCTGCTCCTTATATTCATGTTGTTTGTGCACAGGGCGGTTGCGGATGTATGTGGTGTTGCAGTGAGCATTTGACCGGCATTCTACAGGTGATTATAGCGCAAAATAGAATAGAGCAACCAATTAGCTTGGTTACATCTTTCATGTTTATTTACCATGATTGGTTTATTGAGAGTTTTCAATACTGGACCATTCGTGTTGTAAAACTCTACCAAAAGTCTCAAAACATCTCTCCTAGACTAAGGCTGACTGCAAGCGTACACGTTTTGTAGACTTATAGTATTGGCAGAACGTTTCTAGCACTCATTTACACGCCTCTTACTAATTCATTAACACGTAAGGCAATGTGCGAACGTGTTCGCATTGGTACAATTATATGTAGTAAATTATAGCAGTGAACTCCCAACTGCACACACCCTTACAAAGGAGTGCGGTTTTTGGATCTCACACATTTAACACTGACGAGTCTCGTAGCAACTTGCCTAATTGATTTTTTATTTCCACCAGTCACAGAGTGTCCTCGCTGCAGCAGGCAAGCTCTCTAATTACTGTTCTTCGTCTATATTTTGTCGGCATACACATTTTTGTACATATGACAGGCAACGGCATAATGTATATCCTTCTTCTAGGCGAGCTTGTGGAAACTGCACAGCGCCATCTCGCTCTGATAACATGAGTACGTGAAACACTAGTAAAAGACATGAACTGCGAGACAGAAACCACAATCTGCTTGTTGCCTCGTCCGGAGAGCAGATGGAGAGGAGACGTTCGTTTCATAGGGCTGCCCCATCACAAACAGTTGCTGATTTGTACGAGAGAAGGCTATACAGGTACACATTGAATTAGTTTGCATTAACATTTAGTAAATCTTTCATTGCCATGCTAAGTGAAACTTAACACAACGTTGAATAGTTCATTTCATCGAATTAAAATAATGACCTTGATGTGCCAAGAATTGAAGATTTTGGATGCTGATACAATGCGTTTATATAGGTTGCTGTGCTACTATATAACATGTTATTATACATTATAAGCATAATCTGTTACTTATTATATGCAATTATGCTACGTACTCAATAGTAAAGTTATGTCTTTCAGTGGACTGATAGTCCTCTTGAGGTTGGTCATAACTGATAAGCGCACAAGTTTGTGGTCTGATGCCCGCAGCACCACATGGGCGTGTGCTGCCAAATCTAAAACGACGTGTCAGCTTCACTGGATTTCTCAGGTGAGGTAGTACTCTAAACTGTAAACGTGTACAGTCTCTCTAGCTACACGTGTAGAACTAGGTGGTCTAGCTACATATCCTACATTAAAATTTAATAAAATGGGCCTGCGAGTGTTTGAAATCATTATATGCTTTATATATGCATGCATGCTTGCATAAACTTGCCCTTTGTACGGTCACTGCTATTTGTCACTGTTACCATGGCTTCAAATATGACGTGTGTGTGGTACGTATACGTTCTCTTAGTCGTCGTTGCTGCTTTCGACGTTGCCACACTACCGTTACTCATCACCTCGATTACCGCTTATCGGTCCGCCAAGGTACACGTTACAATGCATGCTTGCATTAAACTTGAAACTTATGGTTGGCATCAGCAAAATCTACTTAACTACCACATAAAAGATGTGCAGTTAATGAGCAAGAGCTATTTAAGTAACTTTGTACAATTTCTTCATAATTGTTAATAACGATTGCGTGTGGTGATTGATAACGAATTCAGTTAGCCTAATATTTGCGATTGCTTAGTGAAATCATTTCTGATTCCAGGTCGGATCTGCTGGTCCACCCAGTAACGAGTTCTGTGAATGTGTTTCGAGTTCTTAAGATGCACATGCTTTGTTTCTACAGATTTCCCTTGTTAATTAGGCAAGCAATGATGAACTCGGGTTTCTATACAGATAAGGGTATTGACGCAGGCGTGGACGAGGACTTTCATTCTTAAATCTCATTGCAAGGCTGCCAGCAAGTCATTCAAGATGAGCTTGCTCATACACAAGTAATATTCTCAGTGATTGTACTGGTGATTCTCAAGGAGTAAGTAGTAGTAATTTTTCACCTGTTCCTTAGATCTATTAATTCGTAGCAATAAAAATGTGACATTCAGATTTAAGTCAATTATTCAGAATCAGGGAGAGTGTTAAATCTAGCATAAAAACCAAAGGAATAATTTGTTTTAAAAGAGTAAAAGAGAAGAGGATAGAACTTTCCATCCGTTAAAGATTTCTTCTGTGAACTCGGTTATAGATGCCTCGTAATGATAGTGCTTGCAATTTGCAAGATGTGAGAAGGCCTAATGCGACTTGTCAAAGTTGGAAACTGCATCAAGTATTTCAGGACGCTGACTAGCTCTGGAGCCAGTGCCCTGAAGAACACTGGCCCTCTCAACTCATCTCCTTATACTTGGCAGTTCATGTGTGTTATTACATGTTCTTAATTTTCGTGTGCATAGTAATATAAACATCACATGGTTGTTACTGAAGGAAATTGTGGCGATTAAATCGTAGATTAAGTGCCTTTATCAAGACTGCAGTTGCCTGCAGTTCAGTGTTAGTGTGAAATATATTATTGTCCTGCTCTGGAGGCACACCTGCTCCAGTCCTCTGAGGATGGCCAGCCTGAGAAGATGGCCTAATAATTGTAAAGATTAACCATGTTAACCTGTCACGCGATGAGCTGTGCGTTGACAAACACCACTGGGTGTATTGGGTACTTCGCGCTAGGGTGATAACCGGTTAAAGGGCTGAACCATATAAACCCACTCATGCGATGAATATGTTTACAAACGACACTGAGTAGGACGTAGAGTGACACTACTAGTCCAACATAGGCGCTGCGTCTCGAGCAACCACTCGGCTTGCGATTAATGTTGAAAAATTCTCGTGCAGACCGGATTCACGGTGTGGCAGTGAGGAAAAGGATGGCTTATAACTCGTAAAGGCTTGAACCATGTAACCGTCATGCATGGCCGTGTGTGACAAACACACCACTGCGTGTTTGTAGATATATTGTATATATATAGATATATATTCGCATATTGTAGACACCCACTAGTCCACATAGGCGTACGTCGCAGTAACCACGCATATTGTAGACACCACTAGTCCACATAGGCGTACGTTCGCGAGTAACAGCATATTGTAGACACCAGTAGATCTCCAATAGGCGTACGTCGCAGTAGCCGCATTAATAGTAGACACCCACTAGTCTACATATGGCGTACGTCGGCTAGTAATATGTGACATGAGTAGACACCCACTAGTGTACATTAGCGTATCGTCGCCAGTAATCATGCATGTAGTAGACCCCCACTGGTCTACATATGGCGTACGTCGCCGTAACCACGCATGTAGTAGACACCACTAGTCCACATAGGCGTACGTCGCGCGTAACACGCATTGTGTTAGCACCCACTAGTCCACATAGGGCATACGTCGCAAATAACCACGCATGTAGTAGACACCACTACTCCACATAGCGTACGTTCGCAGTAACCACGCATGATTAGTAGACACCCATAGTCTACATCGCATCGGGCAGTAGCCGCATTAGTAGACACCCACTAAGTCCACATAGGCGCTACGTCGCAGTAACCACGCCATGTAGTAGACACCCACTAGCCACATAGGCGGTTGGTCGCGTTAACTCGCATTTGTCAGCACCCACTAGGCTCATAGGCGTTACGTCCAGTAACACGCACTGTAGTAGCACACTAGTCCACATAGCGCGTACGTGCAGTCAACACGCATATAGTAGAACCACTGTCCATAGGCGTAGTCGCCAGTAACACGATATTAGTAGACACCCACTTAGTTCACATTAGGCGTACGTCGCATAACAGCATGTAGAGCACACCCACTATGTCCACATAGGCGTATCGTCGCAGTAACCACGCATTATATACGTAGACAGCCCACTACGTCATCATAGGCGTGCTGCGTTCTCGGCGACCACGGCTTGCCGATTGATTTGCGCAATTCTCTCTCGTGCAGAACGATTACACGAGTGAGGACTTTTCGCGAGCTGTGTCGCGCAATGCTGTACCAGCATGTTCAAGTCGACAGTCGGAGTTCCCCCACTACACTCGGCCATCAGAGCGCTCGGCTGAGGACGTCTTCTTCCTCTACCTGCGTCGGCCGAAACAATGCTGAGGTGCGTTCTGCGGTGGGAGCTCGCGTCGCGAGCGTGAGGTTCATCGCCGTAACAACAAACAGTCACGCCGGAGACAAATTCATTACAATAGAAAAGCGCTTTAAGATAGTAATGAGGGCTGTAGTTGTTTATATTTATATTGTATACACTACTGACGCACGCAGCACACACACATATTTTATATATATATATATAATATATAATACTATATATATAGTATATATATATATATGTGTGTGGTATACTCTATGTATATATATATATATATTAAATAAATAACATC